TCTTTATTGAGAAACATTCTCAGAACAGGAATATTGGCATAAAGTATTGACACGTGTGGTTTCATTAATTCGCTTTCTTGTCTCCAGAGGTTTGCCATTTCGTGGAGAAAATTAGATTATTGGGTTAGCAAAAAATGGCAAATATTTACCTATACTAGAGCTGCTGAGTGAATTTAACCCTTTCTTGTAAAAAGATCTCAAAATTTATGGAAAAGGAATGTGTCATATTTATCTGCAAATATTTAGGAATTTATTAAATTAATGGCACAACAGGTTCTTTGTTTTATTCTTGAAGAAACAAAATAATCAAAATATTATTCAATAAGTGTGGATTCCACTACAGACATCTCACAGGCAGAGCAACTGAAATTTACTGTCCGATACATTAAAGGTTGTGAGCCTATGGAACGTTTATTGATGTTCATCCCTGTTATGGTCCGGTTCCTTGTACCACGGTAATCGTCCAAGGTAGAACCAATAAAGAAGAACTCGAACACGGATATGGAATAACACAGATATATTACAAACAGGAATATATACAGAGAAGTAAAAAAGTGTTAGTACGAACAATCAGGTTTAGTAGTAATTGTCTGAACGCGACTCGATTTCGGACTGCCTCTGACTCGACTGACTGACAGACTTCTGACGGACCTCACTGCAGACTTCAGACTGAACAGTATTTAGTCACCCCCCCTCACGAGGGTATCATGTGGCACAAGGCCGGTTTAACGTAGGATCTCCGAGCCCGTGGGATCTCCGAGCCCGTGGGATCTCCGAGCCCGTGGGCTCGGCCAAAAATATGCCCTTTCAACCCGTATAAACGTGTTCAGGGTCGGTTTACCTCCCCGAAAGAGACTCCGTCCTTCGGCGTAGCCTCATTCGGGTTCCTCCCCGCCCGAAGGCAGAGAGTTCAACCGATCAGCCGGTCGTCCGACTTCGGACTGAACTCCCTGCTTCCTCTTGAGGCGCAAGTATTTATTACGTATGGAATAGTCCATTATGTTATTATGGGTAAGGTCCCATAACAATCCCCATGTTTTCTTATGGAGCAAAGGATCTAACAGACGCTGTTGTAAATTTTCTTATTGAGAACAAAATTCCACTATCAAACTGCAGTGGTCAGTCATACGATAATGTCTCAAATATGTCTGGACGATATACTGTAATGAATGCATGGATTCATCAACTCCTTGAGTTTGCCATCTATGTCCCCTGTGCTGGACACAACCTTAATTTGGCGGAAGTAAAAGCAGCAGAGTTCTGTCTACAGATTGTAAAAATCTTTGACTTTGTTCAGCCTCTGTATTCATTTTTTGCTGGTTTCTACTCGTCGCTGGAACGTACTGACATCATCTCTAGGAAAATATTTTGTGGTCAAGTGTCTGCCTCACACACGATGGTCAGTACATTGTGATACTGATCATGATCTGTATGGGGGTTCGAGAAAATAAAACATGCACTGGAATCTCTATCTGCTGACAATGATCAGCAAGTGAATACAAGACGAGAGACAGAAGGATTGAGCATAAAATGGAATACCTGAAAACAATCTTTCTCACAATTGTTTGGAATGACACGCTAGAAAGTATGAACAAAACAAGCAAAGTCCTGCAATCAAAGGATTGTGCAACTAATCTTCTTGAATCCATGAAAACATATCTTTAGGAAACTAAAGACAAATTTAGTGAATATGAATTCAAAACCAGGAGTATGTGTCCAGATACTGATTACAGTGATGGGAAAAAACGGGAACGAAAACGAGGTCTGTGTCTTATCATATGATGGATCATCGAGGTCTGTGTCTTAGATATGATGGATCATCAGAAAAGGTATATCTCACTTCAAGTTCAAGGTGGAAAACTTCCTTCCTATTCTGGACAATCTAATATTTAAACTGACAAAACTTATAGAGGTTTATTCACAGATTGGAAATCTCTTTTATTTCTGCAGTGAATCAAAAAACATTGCTTCTGATGCACTAAAGAAAAAGCGTGAACAACTGGCTAATATGTATTACAAATACATGAATTATGATGACCTTTTAAATGAACGTGAGTATCTCAATCACTACGTGGCTCTTGATGAAAATTGTGAGACTCCTTCTACTGTCTCGGACAATTTGAAATCTGTATTCCCAAATGCTGAAATTGCACTCAGTGTGTTTATGCACATGATGGTGACCAACTGTACGGGAGAACGTTCTTTTTCAAGACAGAAACTTATAAAAGCTTTGACGGAACATTGTTTGAACTGGCTTTCACTCATGTACATGGAAAATGACATCCTATTCCTGAAGACCTTTGACTTCCAGCCAATAATAAAGCAATTATCTAAAAAGAAATGCCGCAAATGCTTCTCATAAGTTCGTAGTAATTTCATACTGTCATCTAATCTGTGTGGTTTACTGAGTATTATTGTGTTTTCAAACCTTGTCTATTGTTCAAATGTTTATCATGTTGATTTGTTCCTGCTGTACAGCATGTTTTTAACGTTTTAACACCAGTTTTGTTGAAGTGTCAATAAAATAAATATATGTTCAATATTATCGACCATTTAACTTTATTTTTGTGTGTAGTTGTCGTCGAGGCCCCAGCACACGGGTTTGCCCA